ATGTGCCACCTCTCTTGCTGCTATGGCAATGACGTGACCTCACAGTAGTCATCTTGACCACTGGGGAGAAAGTCTCTGTATAATCTACACCAGCTTGCTGAGTCGTATCCTTTAACAACCAGTCTTGCTTTATACCTCTCAACACTACCATCTGCCCTATGTTTAACTTTATACACCCATCTACACCCTAATGGTTTGAATTTCTGGGTTTCCTTGAGTGTTGTCATTGTTGTTCGACATGATTGATGCAATCAAGAAAATTAGGTTGAGATATGCTTGATTATCAGATTCCCGGCAACGAAACCAATTTGTTTAACCAAAAATTAGATTTTAGGTCAAAGATTGAATTTAGAAGAACTCGGGTTACTGATAATCGGAAAAGTATATAAGAAAGAGATTTTGAATAATATAATCAGAAAGCAAAAAGAACAAAGTTTATTCCAGTAATGTTTTTTCGTCCCCTACAGATGTTGTGACTTTCTCCTTTTATAGTTAATTCTAAGAGAAAGTGTAATGCCTTTGTCTTAATGAGGCAATTACGAACAATAAATGACATTAAAAGAAACGTTACTCAATCATTTCTATTAAATACAAATTCTCTAACGTATTTGACATTTAATGCTGAATTTGGACTCTTTTTCGCTATCAGATTCATGTCTTCAATTCCTTCTGATCTTCGAGCTTTAAATGACTCGAACAGGTACGAGTCTCGTTTCATTTGAATAATAGCTCGTGCCTTTAAGTATCTTCTCTCCTGCATCTGTTATTGCTCGTGCCTTCTAACTGATTACCACGCTTTGACTATTTGACCGGTCCACGTGTCATGACACGTCATCTTCAATATTTAAATTCAGTTTTTTCCCAATACAATAGCGTAGTTATCTTGATCTTTTTGTCAGAATGATTTAGCATTGTGATAGTAATTTTACTAAATTGATAACATAACTATCTAACGAATAATTCCATCTAGGCTAAAATAATAAATTTGGTTTTGTTTTGCTAGAGCGGATGGATACATCATCCTATATATCGCTGCAAATTAAATATGCAGGTGAGTGGTGACGGACCAGATTATGTTGATGCTACTAATGGAGCTTTAGTAGTAAATCAATACGAAGAAACTATCAATCTTCTCTGTCTTCTTCTTGAATTAAATCAATCCAATTAGTATTTGTTTTATTGGATCTCTCTTCATGACGTGAGGACTGAAATGGTCATATCATTGTTGTGACAAAGGCACTAATTTTTCACCCAACAAAAAGAACAAAACCCGCGAAAATCAAACAGATATTGTCATAGATAAACATAGAAACCGTAAAGGAAATGGACAAACTTGATCATCAACGATCACAGACACAAAATTTGAAAAACACTATTCGAAAGAGAAATAACACAACATAACAGAGCATTTATTTTTGCAATAAAAACTGAACGTCGACAAATTAAAGTGGATGCATTAGATGATCGATGACGATACAGTTAGATGTAACTGTATCTTCCGCATGGTGGCCGGGCCGATCAATCCCAGAGTGAAAGAGCAGCCGCTCTTCCTCGTGCTTCAATCTGAGCACGAATTTGAGCTGCAATAATCTGTTCATGCGCTTCATTAGCTGCATTTATCATCTCCACTGCTGAATTTGTATTTGGATTTGGATTTGGATTTGGATTTGGATTTGGAGTTGGATGCGATTGCTGTCTGGGGAAAACACCAACTTCAGGACTAATTGTACACGGCAAGTGCGACATAAAATCACAAGCATCGCAATAGTACAACCAATCGTCCGTCTTCATTATTACATTATTGCAGACATCACAACTATATACGATATTCTCATCTTCGAAAGGAGAACCAAAGAGGAGCTCCAATTGATGCGGGTGTTCGTCAATAAGTATTGAACTTGGACAAGATGCACAATGCAAGTGGATATCGAATTCGCAACAAGCACAGCTAAAGCAAAATCCATTGCCATCAGAGCCACAAGCCTTGCAAGTATACGAACGACTCGAGTAAGTTGGACTTGCGAGAAGGGTCAAAGGATGAGATGCATGAGACGAATGATCGAGAAAACGAGGAGCATTGAAGCAGTTTTCATGGAGGAAATATTGGCAGCTATTGCAGCCATAGAAATTAGGGTTGTTATTATTGTTTGGTTGCTCACAAGCATTGCAACTGAGAATTTCAGCTTCAGCTGGATTGACAAGTTTCAAGATGTGGGAATGGCTGAAGTGTTGTTTACCTTGACTTGTTGAATCTCTACTCCGATTCCGTCTTCCCATTGATTTTCCTTGTAATTTTGTTCAATAAGGATATATTGGAGAGGTAGCAAGTTTAGTGATTACACTGATTCGTAGTTACTTAATTCTATTTATAGGCATTAAAATGATACTTAGTTGCTATGTATAGACATTAATTAACTGCGATAATAACTTGGCCACGTTGTTCCTTCGACGACTTAGCTTTCATTTTTTTCCCCCTTTATTAAGTCGTCTCTCTGACAACAATATAATTTGTCCAATTGCTATTCAAAAACATATCTAAACATCTGTAGCATATTGACTAACTTAGCTATTATCCAAAATGGTTAAAAGATTTCTTCTATCTATATTACTTATATTGTTATCTACAAAATGGCGAGCATCTTTGAATTTTGACTTAGACTAAACGTTGCCTACTTGTTTGTTTTCTTAAGTTAATTTCCTTTTCCATTTTCTTCTCTCGCTTAATTAGCTCTCTGAGCCTTTTTAGATGGCCGTGTGTAATACTGTTGTGTTGGGTGCAAACAAAGTGATATTGGTAGCTAAAAAAATTTGAAGACTACGTATAAGTTGTAGGAATCTCCTAATGATGCGAGATCTTTTGGAGAAAACCGTACGGGCTTGACCCAAAGCGAACAATATCATATCAATGTCCAACAACTGTGATATAAATAGTAAGTTAAATCCATCGCGATTTCGGCAAATTTTTAAATATGGAAGTCAACTGTATTGAGGATCATGGAACTTGGAAGTATCGGTAACAGTCCACTGTTAGACTTTTTGCTCTTCCGCGTTGGCATTTGATCATTCAATATCGTAGTTCTGACTAATAATTCATTTAGACTTGTTCTAATCTGTATTCATATTCTGGACGTTGGAGTTTTATTAATGCAACTGTGTCAAAATTAGCTTGCCAGACGAACAGTCATATGTATGTCTGCCTTTGACTGATATACGTTTACCTGATTATAGTTGTAAGTATAATTATGCTATAGACTTTGAACTCATAAAGAATTTTCCTCTAACGCCTCCTTGCACCTTTTGCTACAGACCCTTAAACGGATTATGAATTCTGTATCTAGATCATCTGCATTAGAGATTAATGAAATAAGGATCGGAAAAATATTCATATTTAAATACTTTTGAGGCTAGGGATGGTTGCTACGACGAGCAGTCTGCTTTGCTTTAAGTCTAATTTCCTTCCTTCTACCCATCAAATCGTCTTAGGGGTCGTTTGATTCACATACTGGTTATGCACGACCAGAGGCAAAGCCAAGATTTGAATTTTATGGGTTCAAGATTCTAGTTCTTTTAGGTTACTGGGTTCTAAATTAATAATTCACACATATTCATTTAATTTCATAAGATAAATACAGGGTTTGAATTAAAACTAGTGATTCGACCGAACCCCGTAAGCGAAGGGCTAGCTCAGCCACTGTGCAAGACTATCATGTAGGACTGTTTATGTGGTGATAAATGAAGAATATGCAGTTGTTAATAGTATAGGGATTGTTATAAACGGATTAATAGTATGGGTGCCTGCACACCCATTACTTCGGCTAAAACTTAGGTATATAACATTAATTTTCCTGAATAGTATTCTAGCTTGACAAAATCATTAATTATGTGATTATGATTTAATTCTTACATGAACATGTATTAACCAACTTAAAATTTGTAAATTGTTTTATCTTTATTTAGTTATCCTGAGCATCGCGCTCCTCAATTTACGGCATAAAATAATTACTAAAGTGGCCTGAATTGGACTAGAAGTATTACTAAAGTGTTCTAAGGGTAATAAATGCCAGAATTAGATTCTTCCTCATTGAAAGGTTTTTTCTTCGAGTGATCAAGATTTGTTTTAAAAGGTTCATTAATTGCTTTTCCACCCATTTTTTTGTTTTTTTTGTTTTTTTTTTGGTTGGGGGTCTCTATCTGATAATGTGAGGACTAAGGACTATGGACATATCATTGATGTGACGAAGGCACTAATTTTTATCCAACAAAAAGAACAGAAACACGAAAATCAAACATGTTGTAATATAGATAAATAGAAACTGAAGAAACTTGATCATCAACGATCAGACATATAAAAGTTGAAAGAGAGTATTCGAAAGAGAAATAACATAACAACAAAAACATTTATTTTGCAATAAAAGTAGAACGTAAAAGTGGATGCATTTTGATGATCACGATACTGTTAATTAGATGTAACTGTATCTTCTTGGAGTCCTGAATAAGTCCAGAGCAGCCTCTCTTCCTCGTGCCTCAATCTGAGCACGAAGTTGAGCTGCAATAATCTGCTCGTGAGCTTCATTTACTGAATTTATCGTTTCCACTGTTGGATTTGGGTTTGGATTTGGACTTGGTCGTTGCTCTCTGGGGAAAACACCAACTTCAGGACGACTAATTGCACATTGCAAGTGCGATCCAAAATCACAACCAGTGCAATAGTACAACCAACTGTTCCTGTTCATTATTACATTGCAAATATCACAAATATACTCCATATTCTTATCTTGGTAAGGAGAACCAAAGATGAGCTCCAACTGATGTGGGTGTTTGTCAACAAGTACTGAGCTTGGACAAGATGCACACTGCAAGTGAATATCGAATTCGCAACAAGCACAGCTAAAGCAAGATCCATTGCCAGTAGAGCCACAAGCCTTGCAAGTATACGAACGACTCGAGTAAGTTGGAATTGGGAGAAGGGTTAAAGGGTGAGAAGGATGAGATGAATGATTGAGAAAACGAGGAGCGTTGAAGCAGTTTTCGTGAAGGAAATACTGGCAGCTATTGCAGCCATAGAATGGCTTATTTCTATTGCTTGGTTTCTCACAAGCATTGCAAGTGAGAGATTCAGCTTCAGCTGGATTCACAAATTTCAAGTTGTGTTGGTGGCTGAAGTGTTGTTTACCTTGAGATATCGAATCTGTACTCTGATTCTGTCTTCCCATTGATTTTTCCTTGAAATGTTGTTGGATAAGGGATATATTGGAGAGCTAGAAAGTCCAGTGATTACACTAATTCGTATTTGTATTTATAGCGATTTACAGCTACTGTGATAAAAGCAACTTGGCCGTGTTTTTTTCCCTTCAACGATTTTGCTTTCATATTCCTTTTCCTTTACTAAGTCTTCTCTGTGATAACAATATAATTTGTCCAATTGCTATTCAAAAGTATATCTCAACAGCTGTAGCATATTGAATGACTTTCCTGTAATTAACCACCGGATAATAAAATGCAGAAGGTCGTATTTTGAGTTAGACTAATTAAACATTGCCTTCTTGTTTGTTTTTTTGTGAGACTTGGCATGGCTATTCTGGAGCCATAGTATTCAAACTTGGAGATCCTAGCTTGAATTCAAAGAATAAAAGTATTTTCTTTTTTTCTTTTTTTCTTTACTTGGGGACCAAGAACTTTGCCCTATAAATATGAGTCATCATACTTCATTTGAATCATCCCACATTTTGATTAGAAACTCATTTTGAGTATTCTAGTAATAGAGAGTTTTGGTATATTCCATAGAGTTAGTGTTGGGAAACACTTTGAGTGAACCTTTCTTTGTGAGTTATTGCGAGGCTATTCTCTTGGGATATATTTTGGGATAATTAGAGTTTCATTTCTAATTTTGTACTCTCTTTTTTGTACCGATTGTTATAGTGAAATTGCTCCTCTCTGGTTGTGGACGTAGGTCACCTTAACCGAACCACGTTAAATTTTGTGCCTTCTTTATCTTTTTTTTTTTTTTACGTTTATTGTCAACTTGCATTGTTTTTGTTATTGTCATTATAACGTTGTTTGGCTAAATTTCGTAGTATCCGGGTTCCCGATCCTAACAAATTGGTATTAGAGTCGGGTTAATTTCATGTGATGACCCGATAGGTCATCTAGAGATTTAGAACCTAATTTCGTATTTCGAAACTTCAAATATCTCATTTTAGCCTTTCTCGATTTCCGTGCGCAGCCGGAGTATTTTTCCGGAAAGCTTTTATGTTAAAAATTGATAAACTATGAAATTTTGCCTTGAAAATTCATTTGAGTTGACTTCAGTCAACGTTTTAAGCAAACGGACCCGGATTCGTATTTTGACGGTCCCGAACCCAAATTCGTGATTTTAGACTTGGGTGTATATCCGGAATCGAATTCGGAAGTTCCTAGCTCGAGTTATCGCATTTTGTCGAAATTTGAAAGTTTAAAGGCTTAAGGAATCTAAAAGTTTGACCAATGTTTGACTTTATTGATATCGGGTCCGTATTTTGGTTCCGAAACCCGATACAGGTTCATTACTACATTTATGTCTTTTCTGTTAAATTTGGTGAGAAACGGAGTTGGTTTGACGTGATTTGGACGTCCGGTTGTTAAAATAGAAGTTCATGAGTTTTCATGTAAATTTCATTTGATTTGGTGCCAAATTCGTGGTTCTAGGTGTTATTTTGGCGATTTGATTGCGCGAGCAAGTTCGTATGATATTTTTGTACTTGTGTGTATGATTGGTTTGGAGCCTTCGGATAGGCTATGGAGTATTTTTGAACTTAAATGGACTGCTGGTGCATCAGGTCTGCAGACTTCGCAATTGCGAGGTCTGGCTCGCAAATGCGAGCTTCACATTTACGAAGAAAAGTTCGCATTTGCGAGTAGTGGGCTATGGGTGGACTTCCGCATTTGCGAGATTTGGGGTTGCAATTGCGATCCCCTCAGGTTCGCATTTGCGGCCACTTTGTTCGCATTTGCGAAAGCAGCAGGAATGTTCATACCTCGTATTTGCGAAGATTTATCCGCATTTGCGGGTTCGCAATTGCGAACTCCAGGTCGCAATTGTGACGCCTGCACCTGATCAAAATCTGCATTTGACCGGATTTTCGTTCATTCTTCAAAATTTCAAAACTAGAAAACCCTAGAGGCAATTTTCCCAAGAGCCCTTCTTCCCCAATCCATTGGTAAGTGGTTCTAACCTATTTTCTTTCAATCGTTCATTACATTTCATAAGATTTTAACCTAAAATCTAGTGTTTTCATGGTGGAAATTGGGGGTTTGGGTAGAATTAGGGATTTTTGTAAAATTGGAATTTAGATCTCAAAAAATTGAGTCGGATTTCAAAACAAATTACATAACTGGGCTCGGGGTGAATAGGTAATCGGATTTTTGTTCGAATTTCGGGTTTGGACTAAGCGAGCGTGGAAGTTGACTTTTGTTGACTTTTTATATAATGACCTAAACTGAATCTTTTGCAATCGTGGGTGGTTCCTAAGGCTTATTCTGAATTGTTTGGTTGGTAATTTGCTAGATTTGGTTGGTCCGGAGACTTGTTTGAAAGGCAAAGCTGCGGTTGAGCTTTGAGTTGATCTTTGGAGCGAGGTAAGTGTTGAGTTTAACCTTGACTTGAGGGAATTAGGAACCTTCGGACTAGGTCCTATGTGAATGTCATGTGTGAGGCGTATATGCGAGGTGACGAGTGCTTATACGCAGCCGAATTACTTGTTTTCCCTCATTTTTCCATTTTTCCTTAATTATCTCCTTCCCTGTCTTAAATGTTATATGCTCTAAATGCCTTCCATGCTTATTTGCTACCTGTCAATCAGTGTTTACTTGTGTTATTAATGTTAGATCCTTTCATATTTTCATGATTCGCTGCTACTTGCCTTAATTGACTTACTTGCACCTTCTAATTGTCATTTACCAAACTTGACTTACTGTGTATTATTACCTATATGAATTCTCGTGTTGTACAAGGTTTCCTTTTTGGTTCAGCTTGGTATTTATTGATCATAAAGTTTCTCGTGATTTGAATTATTGAGTTGACTGTGCGCATTGAGTATTTGGTACTGATATGGTGGGATCAGGTTGCACGCCGCAACAGGAGAAATAATGGTAGATTGATATGGCGGAATAAGGGTGAAATTGTCCGATACGGTGGGATCGGGTTGCACGCCGCAACAGGTGAAACAAGGGTGGATTGATACGGTGAAATGTGATACTGATATTGTTATATGGTGGGATCGGGTTGCGCACCGCAATATTTATCTACAGATTTTGAGTGTGGATATTGTTACAGTGGAATAAGGGAGGATTGTATTGTACGGTGGGATCGGGTTGCGCGCCGCAACAAACTATGTGTTTCTATTTCCTTGAGTTGTATTGGTTTTCGGTATTTTCACTTGAAACTCTAAGGATTAGTAATTCTGATTGTCACTGGCTTATTTCTTGAGGCTGTAGCTATTATCTTCAATTGACTATCTCATCTTGTTCCTTTTTCCTTTTTCTGTCTCCATTATATACTACGTATAGGTTGTAGTGTAGGAGACCTGCCTTAGCCTTGTCACTACTTTGTCGATGTTAGGATCGACACTTATAGAGTACATGGGGTCGGTTGTACTCATACTACACTCTGCACTTCTTGTGCAGATTTTGGAGTCGGTCCCAGCGGTGGCTATTAGCGTGCTTGGATTGATCAGCTTTGCGCATACTTGAGGTACAGCTGCTCAGCGCCCGCAGCTCCTAGAGTCCCCCCTTTATTTAGGTGTGTATTTTCCTTCAGACAACTTTATATTTATTTTAGACCCTTCTATCTACTATTCTAGTAGCTCGCGCACTTGTGACACCGGGTCCAGGGATTTTAGCAGACGTTTGGCTATTTTAGCTTCCGCATTTTACTTTGGATTTCTACAGTTATTTCAGTTCTTCTCTTTATTTAATCTAGACTGTTAAAAAAACGAATAAGTTTTTCTAACGTTGGCTTGCCTAGCAAGTGAGATATTAGGCGCCATCACTGTCCCGACGGTGGGAATTCCTGGCCGTGACAAATTGGTATCAGAGCACTAGGTTGCGTAAGTCTCATGAGTCACGAGCAAACTTAGTAGAGTCTGGAGGATCGGTATGGAGTTGTCTGTACTTATCTTCTAGAGGCTACGGAGTTAGGAACAAGTTCACTTCTATTCTTCTCTGTCGTGTGATTTTATTCTACCATTAATGATTGAACTCTTCTATTCTTGATCTCTCGCAGATGGCGAGAACACGCACCGCATCTTCAGCTAGACAGCAGCCGGAGCTCCCAGCAGTAGCTCCTACAAGGGGCAGAGGTCGAGTCCGAGGTCGCGCCAGAGGCCGTGGCGGGGGCAGAGCTCTGCCTAGAGCTCGAGCAGCAGCACCCGCAGTGGAGCCTCAGGTAGATTTTGATGAGGAGGTTCCAGCTCAGACTGTACTTGTTGGACTAGCTCAGGTCCCGGAGGGGTTCATTGCTACCGCAGTGCTTCAGGACGCTCTAGTCCGTTTGGTGGGCCATATGGAGAGTGTGGTCCAGGACGGTACATTTCCTATGGCACCAGCCGTCTCTCAGGCTAGGGGAGGAGCACAGACTCCCGCTACTCACACTCCGGAGCAGATGGCTCCCCAGTATCAAAACTCCAGCAGCCCCGCCAGTTGGGCAGTTCGGCAAGTTGTTGCGGCACAGGCCGGTGATGGGCATGCCATGTATTTTGAGGGTTTATTGAGATTGGACAAGTTTACCAAGCTCTTCCCAGATCACTTCAGTGGAGCACCTTCTGAGGACCCTTAGGATTATCTTGACCGCTGCCATGAGGTGCTGCGGAACATGGGTATAGTTGAGACCAATGGGGTCGATTTTGCCGTGTTTCAGATGACGGGTTCCGCCAAGAGATGGTGGAAGGATTATGTATCTATGAGACCAGCTGGGTCACCTGCTCTTACTTGGGACTAGTTCTCAGCTATTTCTTGAGAAGTTCCTTCCTATCACACTGAGAGAAAGTTACCGCAGGCAGTTTGAGCGTCTCTAGTAGGGCAGTATGTCAGTCACTCAGTATGAGACCCGTTTTGTGGATCTAGCCCGTCATGCTATTCTTCTGCTTCCTACCGAGAGAGAGAGAGAGGGCGGGTGAGGAGGTTTATTGAGGGACTCGATCACCCTATCAAGCTTCAGATTGCCAAGGAGACTAGGGGTGAGATTTCTTTTCAGACGGCTGCTAATGTCGCTAGGCGGATCGAGGATGTTCTTCCACAGGAGAGAGGGTAGGGGTCTGATAAGAGGCCTCGTCATTCCGGTGGTTCTAGTGGAGCCTCATCTGGAGGCAGGGGTACTTTTGGTAGGGGCCATCCTCCCGGGCCATTTTA